GTGTATGGGCTCTTTCTGCTTCATCCTGTCCCTTTCCTTTTAGCTTTTGTGGATGCTGCCCTTAAAAAAACTTTTGCACACCTAGCTTTGTCTCAGTATCTGCTTCCAAGATAAACTGTATTGACACAATCTATCAATCTTTTTTAACATTTAAAAATAAAATTACAAAATTTGCACTTTTTATTTTCCAGTCTTGGAAAATAATTCCAATCTTTTCTGTGTATACCGACACAGAAAATCAGAGTGAAAAAAATCTACTCCACCAACTCCAAAATACTACTGGTTGTATTTTTTTCTCTCAGTATTTTAACCTATGTTTGTAAGGTTCTATAAAATGAGCACAAATTATTTCTCCTCTTGGAAATCTTGTCATTAAAAATAAATCTGCAGATTTCTAAAATAAAATCATTTAGATTGAAGTAATTTAATGCTCCACAAAATGTAAGTGATGCCAGTTTGGTAGGTTTGGAAAATTCAGAATAGCTAGAGAAGTCTATTTATTTCCTGAAAAGAACTGTTTCTCTGAATGTTAACAACAATCCTCTTCAGGTACTTGCCACATTGTATTAACCATTATTCTTGTTGTTAATATTTTCGTTGGCATAACTTTGTCCTAATTTCTGACCTGTACAACCCTTGGCATGGTGCTAGGCACATGGTTTGTGTATGTTGAGTATTAAACTAAACAACATTCTTGTACATATTTTGATATCTGGGACCTCACTGTTGTTCTCAGGGAAGAGATCCTTAGAAATAAAACTTTGACTGACATGGATAAAGATGGGAATTTATTATTTTTCCTTGATGCTCTGCCTACAAACCCTTAGGGCTGACAAACAAACATTATTATTATTATTATTTATTTATTTTTTTAACAGAGGTTGAGTTCTGGAAGGTTCTTTTAAAAGCTCTTATTCTTTCATAAACCAGAGTACTCCCATGTACAGGGTTGAAGTAAAGAGAGGGTTTAAGTCAGGAAAACCTTGTTAAATAAATGGCTTCCAAGTGACAATAGCGTTTTGCCTTTCTCTGAATCCTCAGGCAGAGGCCAGGGTTTGGAGCCAACATTAAGGGCTAGATGAGTCATCCACCATGGTATGGCAATGCCTCTCTCTTCCCAAGTCTGTGCAATCAAATCTCCAACTGATTTCTCCTTTTCATTTTTTTCCTCCTCTTTTGGCAAGAGAGAAAATAACTTCAGTATTCTTTTTTTAGGAGGGTTAAAAAAAAAGTAACACCATTCTATTGCCAAAAATTGCATATAGAATTTCAAAGGGTGACCTCTTCCCAGATATAGCAGAACTTATGGTGGCAATGGAATGTGTCACCTTTGAAACATAAGCACTTCAGATCCCCAAGCCTGCCCATGTCTTCATTGTACTTTGGAGAATGATAGGATTAGGAGTAAAGGAATATTAAATATAATGCCATTTTCACCTGAGAGTAATTAATGTTTCTGGCAATGCTGACTCTCACGTGGTAGGAGTTGCAGTGGCAATAAGTGAGTGAGGAGAAGAAGGATCCAGGTGTGTGGAGATGTTCAAAGCCTTGCTTTTTTCACAGTTGGCCGATTAAGCCATTTTTAGAATTTGGACTTTTCAGGGGCAGAGGGCTTTTTTCCTTTTACATTAAATATACTCTTCCCTACACTGTTCAGTTACATAATAGGGCGAGTCATGCTTTTAGTATTAAGACACAGACTCATATCCTTCATTTTTGAAGTTCTAGTTATTGGTGAAACTACTGATTCTGGATACAGCAAATAAGATATTGCCAGAAGTACTTTCTGGGAAGAATAAGTATGAAGCTTGTTCTTAACGGTGTTTGTTGTTAAATATAGCCTTGATTCCCCTTCTCTGATGACTTGCCCCTCCCCCAAGAACTGTGCCGTAGTCTGTTTATAATTTATAGCCCTATCTTTAAATGTTAGACTATAAATGCTTGTGTATGCTGTAGTTATATTTTCCAGAATTTTCTGGCCTTGTGGCCTTGGCTGAAATTGTGTGCCTCTCCTTCCTTTGACCCATTGTGTTTACAGTGTTTCTACTTCAGTTCATCAGACAGCACCTGATTAGGTGGCCTTCTGTCATCCGTCTATTCCCCACACATCCTGCCTGGCCTCAGCACAGTGGGGCTGGCTGCCCTCCAGAATGTCATCATGGAAGCAGCTGTCCTAACAGGGGAAGATGAGTTTCGTTCATCTTTAAACATTTCCAAGGAGTTGGACTCAATGTCACAAACAGGTCAAAGGCTCAGCCACATTTAAAGTGGGACGTGATGGCATCCCGAAAAATATGTAACTTATCAGACCATACTGTTCCTCTAAGAGAATAAGGACCTTGACAATGGGCTGACGGGTTTTGAAATCCCTGCTCTGCCATCCTCCTAGCTAGGTAAATACTAACTATAAAGTTCCAAGCACGTTGCCTGACACATTAAAGTACATTGTAGTTCTCTCTAAATTTTTATTAATTATTTGCCATGAGCAAGGTAATGTTGGGGATCCAGAGTATTGGGCAGTAGCAAAATATTAAGAGGTGTGATAGTCAGGGTGCCTACCATTGTGTCGGGGAAATATTGGTGAATTTTGATTTCAAATACAGACCGGAGAGTAAAAATAAATAAACACATACATACATACATACCACATTGCAAATCTAGGGGAATGAGAATTCAGAGAAGAGGTAGATCACTGTTAGGGGCAGAATAAAATAAAGTCTCATGGAGGGGGTGGCACTAGAAATAAAAGCTGAAGAAATCCTTCCCAGCTCAGCACACTAGTGATGATGATTTGAATTTTGCAGGGACAGAAAAAGGGTATTTATGTGACAAGAAAGAAGGTGAGCAAATGAAGTTAATGTAGAGTATGTTTGGGAAACTGCCAAGAGTCAAAGTTGGCTGGAGCAGAACCCACACTAAAGGTGGGAGATGATTTTGGAAAGACAGATAAGGCCAAATTTGGAGGCCCTTTGATCTCAGCCTGCATGAGAAGCATGGCAGAGTTGAAGGAGACCCTGGCTGTTGAGCAGGAATCCTATACTCCTTTCTAGGCACCAGATAAGGGATGGTAGAGTACCCACATTCTGGAGATGCATTGCTCTGGGTTCAAATCTCAAGGTCTCCACTTACCGACTCTGTGACATTAAGCAACTTTATTTTCTCTTTCCAGCTTTGAGTTGCTTCTTTGTGAAGTGAGAGGATTAGACTTGACCATGTCTCTCAAAGTATAAAGTTATTTGTTTTTAAGTTCATTTGTTGGAAAATGGCAAAGGGTTTCATAGAGAAGTATTTTTTGAAAGGTGGGAATGCATAAGATTTTGGAAATGAAATAATCAGAGAACTCTTTGGTTTCCATTCTACTGCTAAGTTTATATGGGTCTAAGGAGATAGATTTAGTAATACTGTCTAGCACAGTTTGAAGGAGCAAAAGACTGAGGACAAGAAAATCATTTGACTTGGGGCTTAAAGTCAAATGGGGATTTGAAGAAAGCATTTTTTAAAGAGAGAGGGGGAAATCACGAGAGATATTGTAGCAATACATTCAAAAACTTTTGACAGCTCATTGAATATCAGTTCCAAAGTTAACAAGCACAGAAAATATTGCTTTTTAAAAATGGACACATTCTTTTATATTAAATCCTATAATTGATTTAGTGATGACTTTCAATTCTGTATCATTCAGAGAGAGTTTCAGTGTACATGGAGTTCCTAGTGATACAGATTGGTACATTTGTTATAGATTGGCATATCTGTTATTGATTCAACACATATTGATAGTGGCCTGACTATGTGACTGGTAGTGTCCCAGGATTTGGGGACGTAGCAGTGAACAAGACAGAACAAGAACAAGAACAAGAACAGACAAAGTTCTTGCCCCTGTAGAGCTTACATGCCAGGACTGTGATGGGGGGCGGGGTGGTGGAGGTGGAGGGAATGAACAAATGAAGAAAATGGCGGCTAGGAAAATAAAATGTAGATGAACCAAGCTGTGTGATGGGGGTATCTGGGAGGCAGCCAAGGCCTGGCTGAGGAGAATGCTTTCAGGTTGAGAGCTGAGGGACTGGAGGAGCCAGCAACACAGAACAGCAGGTCAGAAACACTGCAAGAAAAGAGAACAGATAGGCCAAAGGCACAAGGATAGGGCTTACGCCTCTGTAGGTTTCAGGAATTGAAAGAAGCCAGCCTGGCAAGGGCATAAGGAGTTAGGGGGAGAGTAGTCAGAAATGAGAAGAGAATATATGTGTTAGTAACAACATGGGACGAACCCCCAAAACTCATTCCTAATCTCCTGGCCTTGTTGCAACTTTGCAGCCCAGTATATAATATCCTTCACAGCAAAAATAGTTAATAAAACCAACATTGGGAAAATGTTAAAATTCAGTTTTTCTAGAGCAGAAGATTGGGGCTCAAAGATATTTAGCTATTTGTTCAAGGTCACAGAGTTTGTAAATGGCAAGGCCAGGACTCAAATCAGGTCTTATGATTGCAGACCCACAGCAGTTTCCACTTCCCACAGTGTCACTTTCCCTTCTTATGTAACCTTAAAGAATAACAGAGTTACTGACCTCTTATCAGAGAGCCTGCAGGAGAACACTCTGTGACTTGGGATAGATGACAAATGACAGAGAGAGACCAAATGACAGTGAGAGTTCTGTACTTATGGCTGAAAAGGTGCAAGGCTTACCTGCACTAGGGTTTAGGGCTAGAGAGGTAGAAGAGAGTACCTACTGGCAGAGAACTAGTAGGATGATTATGTACTAATTTTCATTTGCATGTGAGTCTTACAGCAAGCCCTTTGCTTTTGTAACACCACAATTTGATGATTTTCCACGAAGAACCATTTCATGTATCTGAACTGAATGGAGCATGCCATAAGGTACAATGGCATTTTAAAGCGAACATGAAATGTGGTAAATAAGCTGGTATTTACACATGGGCACTATATTAACTATTTCTGCACTTTGCCCTTCCATTAAGTTAACTGTCAGGCTCTGGATCATTAAAGTCCAGTTTTCCTCCCTCCTTTACAGCCACACATTAACTGTGGACATTCTGAGCATTTCTAATAGAGCCATTTTCAGAAAGAATTGTGAATTTTCTTATTAGTGTCTCCCCTCCCTTCCGTTCCCATCCTAAGGACCCCCCTGCTACTTGCAACTCTGAGTTCTGAACATGCCCATGGTGGAGCCAGTTGGTTTCTCTGTTTATGGTGCATCTCCGGATCCACGCATTGGTTTAGATGAGAGCCCTAGTTACAGAGACGTATTATTACTTCTTTCAGAGGACAGCATACGCGGCTTGCTGGGGGCTTTCTGACCTGAGGCAGTGGGCGAAGAAGGAGAGTTGGCAGGCTTTGGGGAGCGGATGTAGAGTTGCTCCTCATTGGAGGGGTTCGCTTTTTCCTGAGCTGTCAGACACTGCGGGCTCAACTGAGGCGCGGAGGTGCAATTCAGGCTGGTGGAACAGCGGGGGAAGGCAGGGACAGGCGGGGCTAGCGCGGCTCTGCAGCTGATCACACGCACCAGCGCATACACCGCTCTCCCGCCGCCCCTGCTCGCGCCTCGCATCTTACCCGGAGCCACCGAGGCGCGGACAGGGAGTGGGGAACCCAGGAGGGAAGAGGCAAAGGTAGGCACCGTGAAGCAGAAGAAGGGCTGAAGCGGCGCTGGTTTTTAACCTGAAAGTCTGACCGGCAGCTCGAGGCTCGAACCCTTTACGGCAGCACCGCGGTCGCCTGCTAAGAGAGCACGGCGCCAAGGAACCCTCAAGTCCCGCGCCCAAGTCAGTCCGTGAGGGCGCTCCAGGGTCCTTCTGGTGGGGGCAGCGTGGTGCCCTCAGGGAGGTGCGGAGCTTGGGGGACCTGCGTTGGCGCCCACCGTGGTGCACCAGGAAAAGTGGGGGTGAGGAAAACAGCCTTGAGCGCGGAGTGCGAGGCCAGGCTGCCACTGCCGCCCGCTGCGCCTCCTCCTGCCCTCTCCCGGTGGGTGAGTGCTCCGGTTTCGTGCACCGCCGCGTCTCCGCTGGGCGCGGGGGCGGCCTGGGGGCCCTTGAGAGTCGCCCGGAGGGCCCTGGGGGCGCCCGCGGAAACTCAGCAGCCCGCCGACGCCAGGCGGGCGCGTCTCTGGAGTCCGGAGCCGGGGACTCTGAGCCCGGAGGGCGTGGGTGGGGGGTGTTGCACCGGTGCCCGGCAGACATGCCTCTGGGCGGGATTTTGGCCAAAAGATAGGAGGCGGGAGTGCCGGGGGGAGCCGGGAGCGGTTCCGGGGGGCGGGCGATCGGGGAGCGGCGGGGAGGGGGGAGGGTCTGGTCCGAGCAGGTAGCGCAGTTTCGGCAGCCTGGCGAGTTGGCAGGTGGGGTGGGACTCGCCTGTCAACTCATTAATTTTAAAAAAGTCAGTTTGGGAGGGCTGCAGGGTAGTCGGGAGGGCTGTGGCAAGGCGAAAGGTGGCCCGGGATGCCGATGGTGGGGGAAGAAAAGAGAAGCCTCGAAAAGCTTGGAGGCAAAATTGCGCTTGGGTTCCTGGTCCTTGCATCCCTCCTGCCTTGAGTGCGGGAGAACACTTTCTTGTTTTAAGACTCAGCTTGGAGAGAAAGCCTCCGTCCCGGGGGAAGAGAGGAGTCCGCAGGGGGCAAAGAGCGCAGCTACCTGCCGGGTGCGCCCCCCCCCCCCGGGCGCGCTCGCTTTTGTCCCCCCTCTCTCCCCCGCCCCCACCTCCTTATTGGTGCTGGTTTGCAGCGCTCGGCCCCTGCGCCTCCGCTTCGCGTTTTGAATCTGGCTCGCCCCTCCGTATTATGTCTGCACTCCGAAGGAAATTTGGGGACGATTACCAGGTAGTGACCACCTCGTCCAGCGGCTCGGGCTTGCAGCCCCAGGGGCCGGGCCAGGGCCCGCAGCAGCAGCTTGTGCCCAAGAAGAAGCGGCAGCGGTTCGTGGACAAGAACGGCCGGTGCAATGTGCAGCACGGCAACCTGGGCAGCGAGACGAGCCGCTACCTCTCGGACCTCTTCACCACCCTGGTGGACCTCAAGTGGCGCTGGAACCTCTTCATCTTCATCCTCACCTACACGGTGGCCTGGCTCTTCATGGCGTCCATGTGGTGGGTGATCGCCTACACTCGGGGCGACCTGAACAAAGCCCACGTTGGCAACTATACGCCCTGCGTGGCCAATGTTTATAACTTCCCCTCCGCCTTCCTCTTCTTCATCGAGACCGAGGCTACCATCGGCTATGGCTACCGCTACATTACCGACAAGTGCCCCGAGGGCATCATTCTCTTCCTCTTCCAGTCCATCCTCGGCTCCATCGTGGACGCCTTCCTCATTGGCTGCATGTTCATCAAGATGTCCCAGCCCAAGAAGCGCGCGGAGACCCTGATGTTTAGCGAGCACGCGGTGATCTCTATGAGGGACGGAAAACTCACGCTCATGTTCCGGGTGGGCAACCTGCGCAACAGCCACATGGTCTCCGCGCAGATCCGCTGTAAGCTGCTCAAAGTAAGTGTTACCCGCCCCTTCCCCACCTGGCTGCCGCCAACCCTCGACGGCGGAAAATAGCTCACCTGAGAACTCTCCCCGGGCTCTTAATCTGACCTGTCTCGCAGGTAAACCTCCTTGAGGACGCGGGGGGGTGGAGTGGAGTTGGGTGGCGTGGAGGACTGGGCAATGAGACAGCTGCCAGTTCTGTTCCTTTTCTACTCACTCTCGTGCTCTTATTTATATTAATAATTGGAATGTGCTTGTATCACTTTCTGACTAGTCACACTTACCGAGTGGTGTTGGCTCCTGGAGCCTTGAGGTAGAGGGCCTTGTTCTCCCTACCGGTGCTGCTTGGCTCTTTAAAGAGTTTCTGATTTGTTGTCAGTACACTATTCCACTAATCTTGAGGTACTAAAACTGAGCAGCTGTTATTTTGAAGAAATAGGTCCTGAACTTGCCTTAACTTTCACTTAGGGCTTTTCTTTACTTTTTCTTTATCTCTTTTTTTCCTCCTAACAGTATTAGCAGGCGGATTATTTTTTTAGACTCAATAACATGAACTGTATATGCTCATCTTTTTTAACAAGCGCAGTGATCAGAAAAGTAGTTAATAATGTGGAAGAAACAACACCTGGCTCTTTCAGATTTTTATTTTTATTAAGTACTTTCCTACAGAAGAATTCTGTGAAAGCTTGAGTGTTTTTTCTGTGGAGCCTCTTGTTAATTTTGTTCTTAATTGCCAGTTTCTATGAAGCCTTTGTCAATTACAGATTTCACTTGAAGCTTTTCAGCATCCATTAAAGAAGATTGCTTCTTACCATCAGCAGTGTAAATGCTAAGACAGATTGCTCATGGAGTGGTTATTAAAATAAGGTCCATCTAGTCCTTAAAGGGCACCACTACAAACAAGAAAAGCCCACCCTTATCATTCATCCAATTAGAGCCTGGGAATAAGAAATAAAAAATAAAAAGCTCACTTCTCTTTCTGTGTGTCATTTACAATTCAACTTTTTTATTAAAAAAAAATTCAACTTTCTGAGGCACTTGCCTTAGGTAGTTTTCAACTCTTCATAAATTGAAAAGGATGACCTCAAATAAAATCTTAAAAATTTATCTGAGGTTGCATAGAGAACCGTAGCCAGATTCAGAATTTAGCATTAATAAAATGAAAATCTGATGAAGATTTGAGATTTTGCCTTTGAAATTTCAATGCCACCCTGCAAATATGTTGTCTTACACAGCTTCAACTGATTTTGTAGTTAAAAGTGCTCTAAAAAAGTTTGGCTCGCCTGTCATTTTTATTATTTATTTATAAGATTTTACCCAAATTCCTCTTCATCATGTTGCTCAGTAAAGTGTTAGCCTTAACTCAGCTGCCATGTCACTCCCCATCATACACTATAAACAGGAAAACACACTAACTTCTGCAGAGCTTAGTGGCAAATTTTCAACTTAGTTTTGATGTGCATGTTCATTTAGGTAACTATGAATAAACGATGTGAGGCCATGTTCTTCATAATTAATTTCACTGAGCTGCATACGGGTTTTTATGTAACTTAGCACATGTGTTATTGACCACTGTTTGAACTAAGTGAGTTTTTTGGACTAGGCTAAGCAGTTGTCTCTAGACATGTTTATTGCATTGGTGTTAGTTTTATGTGCCTCTTCCAGTGAATAGATCAAGATATGTAATCTATCTCTTTAGTTCAGGCCTACATGGAGGATAGGAACACATTAATACAGCGTAAATATCTATGTCAAGGAACTCATGTTTATGTGTCACTGTGAGATTCTTACTGAAGAATAGTTTAGCATATTGATTGGATATTGGACATTTAAAATTAGGCTTTAGAGATCATTTCATGCTGTTCTCTAGTTTTTCAAATATATAATCATTTATTAAAATAAGTATCTTTTGAGGCAACATATTTTAGATGTTTCGAGACTTTATTAAATTGTGTTTTAACAAAGCCAGAATAATTAGAATTAATCTACATATCAGTTTTTAGTTTGTTTTGTGTGTGTGTGTGTGTTTTGTTGTTCTGTTTTGTTTTGTTCTTTACAAAGGTACAATGAATTTGAAGTATTCAGTCTAACAGTGGTTCAGGACACTGATAATGATTCTTATGTAAAGGCAATGTACCACATATACCATAAAGAGTGTCCTGATTAAAAACAATAAAAGATTTGTGGTGTTGACAAATTTGGAGCAGGGTGCTATATTAACACAAGGTGATAAAATAACATCTAATTAAAATGATATATATAATATTCTTATAAAATTCTTTACTTTTGATTTGTTAGAAGGTGTCAGTGCTAGGAGTAAAACTAATTGACATGTAGTGTCAATTTGTATCTAAACAAAATTATGGTGAAATGATGTCCTGCTGTCTATTGAATGCAAGGGCCAGTCAGTTCTTCAGCCTGCCAGTTTAGTGTTGTTTGTTTGAGTTGATTTTTCTTGTAGCCATAGTAATTACAATGAATTCTCATAGTTCTTGTCATTTCCTTAGACTTCATTAAAAAGGAGTCCTGTTTTATTACGGAGCTCATAACATTCAGCAAATTAGAGGGGAGATTTGTCTTTAATAAGTTAACTCTCATGTTCTCTTAGGGACTGAGATTGAAGTGACCCAAAACAACCAACTATATTTTGAAAGAGAGGCTATACCCTAATCTTATAGTAATAAGTGGAATGTTTTGATATCAGTCTTATGCAGTCTTCTTGTTAAATATTATTACACATATTTAGCTTCCCCTTTTAACCCCTGTTTGACATTTTAAATATAGGATTGATATATTTTTAATAGAAATATTTGGAATTTTATGGCATTAAAAACATACTATTCAATGATAATAATTATAGTCTATGTTCTTCCTATTATCTAATTTAATTTCATTTATATTTTTCTATTGTTATTTTCTTATTTTTTGAACAAAAGTTTATTTATCTGTATTAATATAAGAGTTCTCTTAATGATTATAAAGTACTTTCTATTCTTGGAAGATAGAACATGAATATGGCTTTCTTGTCCTTGCTACTATGAATTTTCATACTTATATCTTTTGAATTATCTAAGTTTTGATAACAGTTTTTTTAATAATTTCTCTGCCTTATTTTAAATTATGTTATTAACTTAAATGAAAGCAAATTTTTTTAAAAGGAATCTGTACAACCAGCATGGGAGCTTGAACTCAGGACCCTGAAATCAAGAGTAACATGCTCTACCTCCTGAGCCAACCACATACTCCTCTGTGAAGGCAAATTTTATTCACCTCTATTCCTGTCTTTCAAGCTTGCAAATACTGAAATTAATTTTGATATTCAAATATAGATCTTCCAACTTTTTGCACGGATTGGTCAGTCTTTTTTTTTTTTTTTTTTTTTTCTTTTTCTTTTTTTTTTTTTTTGCTCAGAAATTAAAAAAAAACTGATTCAATAAAAATTAAAGAATATAATTGGAAGTTATTCTTTGAAATTTGTAATTTGATCATAAATACAGCTTCAGAAAACTCTTTTAAAATGAATATTATTTCTCTTTTCCTCTTCACATCCCCATATTGATGTTTTATTTGGATTTTAAGTTTATTTTAGTTACCTTCTTTTTTTAAATTCTAAATTATAGGAACTAATGAATAGCATGATCATGTTAAGTTAATGTATCATCTAGCAGAAAGTTTTAATAAAAATGCCTGAGACTTTAGGCTAATGGCTCAAACTCTGGACCTT